AGAAAGCTGTTAGATGCTGCTAAACAATTATGTCCCTGAAAGGTCATAACCCTGTCAGCCTTGGTCTTGAGCTAAGGAGCCTTGCTCCAAAGGCTAATGAGATTTGGTGTTGCAGCCTACTGTCATGGGATTCCAGATCCAACCTCATATTTTATTTACAGTTCTGGGACATCTCACAGGGGTTAACAAACTTTTGAATTCCACCATTACAGTGAAATTCACCAGTATACAGAGGAGAATTACACTCTTTCTTGTGTAGGACCCTGCCTTCTGCACCTGAGGCCTTGCTGCTCAAGTTCATTTGTCTCTTTTTCTTCATGTTTGGCTTAGCTAATACTTGTTGCTTGGCTCAGCAAGTGTCAGATACACACATCTGTCTGCTCCTGGATGCCAGTCAGAGGAGATCCTAAGGTAGGGCTATCCCTATTTGCACTGACCACATGGAGTGTCCTCAGACAGCACGGGCTGGACATGTTGGACAGTGACAGAACAGTGAATATGCCACCACTGCCCCTGTAGTAAAGGTGCCAGAATCTGCTTGCTCCACACTCCCTACTGCATGGGGAGAAATTGAAATACAAAGATTTTCTCTCCTCTTTTGGGGAGAAGTTGAAATACAAAGATTTTCAGCATTGTCCCCTTCCTGTCCTCTCCCTTCTACAGTGGCACTACACAAGAGAAGACACAAACACTTAGTCTGATTGCAAAAAAAGCTGTTTGTCTGGGATAATTTTGTTGGTTCAGAGGGAAGTGCTCAGTGCCAGTCAGTGCCATGGCACTGTAACTATGCTGCAGAGATTGTGTTGCTCTCAAACCTGCCTTGCTTTCTTGACGTTCCTCAGATCAATCTGTGCTGCTCTTTGGGCTGTTCTTGTCCAATACAAAAAGTGCAAACAGTCCTCGGAGATTCTAGAATCTCCTCAACCCTGCTAAATTGTTTCCGTCACTGGGTTGCTCCCACTTTCTACTTGCTCTTTCTATGGGAATATTAACCTGTGGCAGAGGAGGGAAGGAAGGGAGGTTTAACAAAATCTTCGAGTAAATGTGAGAGGATTCTTGCTGGGACCAGAGACCTTAGGTCTTACAGATGATTCCTCTCATGATCTGGAGCAATGTCTTATCCTTTCATTGACCCAGCAGCTGAGTACTTCACCAGTGCATATACAAGTTAAAGGATGCCAAAGCAAAGTACAAGAGAATGGGTTTAGTCATCAAGGAACTGATAGAAATGTATTTTCAGGTGCTTTCGGAAGTGACAGGGTTTTTTCTGAGGCTTTAGCACTTACACTGCCAATTTGGGCACACTAAACTCATTGCAGTGTGTCTGCTTGTGCAGCTCTTGATCTGTCCCTGTCAGACAAATTAGCTTTGTGGATTGCCCTTCATGTTCTCGCCACTGACTTGAAGGGAGTGTGACCCCAACCTCTCGAATTGCCTTGTTGGTTAAAGGTTTTACAATGTCTGTTTTGGAGGTGTCTTACAGAAGCTGAAATCCTAGAGGCCTCATAGTTCTCACAGTGAAGAATATATGTAACTACAAATACTAAAAAAACCCAAAACAAAACACCAAAAAAAAAACCCAAAAAAACACAAAACAAAACAAAACAGATAGCAAAATACTAGTTTATAGAAAACACAAAAAGGAGGCAAACGTTATGCTCTAACTTAAGCAATACCTCAGGGTAAAAAATTGGGATATTTCTTAGTGCTAGTATCAGATAAGAAATAAATCAGCCTACATTTGGGCCAGGTTTATCAGCAGTAGTTACTGGATAATCAGTTCAAGCATTACCTTGTTAGTAAGCAGAAATATTCTCTTCACCCTCTAGTGCATTCTAAGCCAGATATTACTCAGATAATACTTAACATTTTGCAATATTGTATTGACATGAAAAGCAGATTTTTATTGTTTACCAGCAAACAGGTGCTGCATTCTGTTTTTTTTCCTAAACCTTAAGAAGATAGCAAATTATATTCCAGCACAACTTAAGTGGTACAGAGCTGACCTTGAAACATTTTCAGTATTTATTTTAGTTGATCTGTATTTTTCGCCAGCAGAGTATTTGTCCTAAACAGGACTTCAGGCAGATTTTAAGATTTGAATAATGCCTCTCAGAAGCCTTATTTTCCTGCAAAGAGGGGTTATTTCAGCCTTATTCACACTGTGTGTCACAAGTAATAATGTGGCCCTCAGCTATGGACACAACCTGAAACGTTTAAAATTGTCTACCTGGAAGAGTCTCTTGCAGCCATAATATTGTGTATTTGCCTTTATAAACTCCATACAACTGTTACAATACCAACAGAAATGGTCTGTTTAAATAAACACTTTAAAAACCAGAATGAGTTACTAATTCTACACATAGATTTCAGCACTTTCTCATCTGCACTGGTGTATTCTGCAGTGGTGCAAAATATATTTTAATATTAGCAGAGAATGCTTTTTAACTGGTTAAAATTTCAGGTTAAGTAACAGGTTATCTTAACATATGGCCAGTAATTGTCATAATTGCTCTAGCTTAACACTTCTGATTTACATCTAGTTTAAACCAGAACACAAAAAGTTTGTACAATAGCCCTTTGAACTAGTAAAACATTCAGTAAAAGTGATGTCAGCAGGATGGTGAGACTCAAGTCTGTTCCTATTTTGTATGTTATTTATTAGGCTTCCTGTACTGACCGGAAAATTCAGTGACCAGTAACTTAATTTTCTGCCCTTCCACCTCAACACCAAGTGTGGGCTGTGTGGCACCATGAAATGTTGCTTCTTATATTGTACATATGAAATAAAGTTACTGTTTCTAATGATGGTATTTCTGGTTGTTTTTACATTTTGTATGTTTAATATGATTTTGTGGAATTTGGGGTTTTTTTGCCTTGAGGTGTTAGAGCAAGAGTAGATAAAACAACAGTCTTGCAGCAGTGAACACTCTACAGAAGATGGTTAATTGTAGTTTTAGTGTCCGCCCTCACTTACAACATCATTACAGTTTGTCTCCTAGGATCTGCACAATGTGCATACAAGATATTTGCCCAAGTGTTCTGGCAATCTGCAGCTTGTGCTCCAACCAGACAGTCTGCTCTCCCACCCAGAAAAACAAAATCCACTCTTGTCCCTAGGCATACCTTCTAAGCATGAAAAATTACATATGCAAAGACATGTTGAAAATGTGGCGGACCCAGATGTACTTTTTGGATTTCTAGTTATTTATGCAGACAACAAAGCTTCAGGTTGCAACATTACTTTTCCCCCTTTTATTTTCTCTTTGACCTAAGCTACCTTTTTTGTAGCTTTCCCTGTAGCAAACAGGGAAAAATTTTTGTAGCAAATTTTGCCATAGATGGGACCTTTATCTGTCAAACAGCAGCAGAGCTGAACTACCTGACTTTCTGCAGATGAACAGTCTGCAGTGGAACTGGTTATTTTAAATGGAAGCCAGTGCTTCACTGAACTGTGACCAGTACACTTGAAGCATTACAGAACTCAGCCCCTGTTCTCTTTGGTTTGATATTTTATCAAATTCAAAAACATGTCAGCTGTGCAGCAGGTTTGTAGTACAAAGATTTGAGGTCTTCATGTGGAAACATACCTAAATTACAAATGAGGTGTTAAACAAAAAAAAAAATCCACATTCTTTTGACCACTTGTTGTCATCTTAATCATATTATGATTAGTTAGTTTTTAGAAGTGGAGAAAAGAAGTCTTTATTTCTGATAGCAAAACTTACTCTGCTATTTTTAAATATATATGCTAACATAACTGTCTGTGGTATTTTTGATTTGGAAAAATGCTATCAACTAGAATGCCCTGAAGTATTGAGGTGCTTTGCTAGCACAGTGCTTGGAATGCAGCCACCTCTAAATCGCATTGCATGACTCTGTAGGTAGGAAAACCTGAAAACAAATGAAACTTGAAATGAGCCATGCATTCTTGTTTTGGAACATCAAGAGAGCATGGGTTTTAAGTCCTCAAACTATGTATTTTTGCAGTCATCTATTTTTATTTTCCCATCATAAATCAAGAAGATTTTTTTAAAATCTAGGAAAAAACATCTCTGTGGCTAGGAAAACATTATAGATGTGAGACAAAAAACAGGAGAAATTCTTCCAACTCTATTATCCAAAACCTCTGACTTTTGCTTAGCTTTCATTTCAGGACATATTAATGAATACTGGTAGAGGAGGAGCTAATACTTGCTCTGATTTACCAAGTAGAAACTTGCAGATAGATGCTATACTCTTGAGGGTAGGAAATAAGATTGGACTTCTGGCATCTCTTCCTCACATGCATGCCAAGCTGGACAGCTTCCTACATATCTGCTGCCTTATTTGGAAAATGCTTAAACTATTTCTTGAAAAGTGTTTGAAGGTCAGGCAGAGGGTTTTTTTCTGTGTTTTACAGTATTTATTATTACATAAGAAGGTTGTGTCCTACTTGTCATAGAGATCTAGCTAAGGACTACTGATACGATGGAGGCATGCTTCCTGACACAATAGAAACCCTGCTGAAGAGAGGGAAAGGCAGTAATTCCTGCATGTCCCCCTGCCTGCTACACATCCATATTTACATTTAGGAAATAGGGACTCTAGAACTGTCTTTTAAGTCTCCCAAATACACTGCACAAATTTTGGGACCCAAAATGAGGTCTCTGATAACACATCTTTGGCATTGTCCTACTCTGTGGTAGAGATCCTCAAGAGGTCTCTCCTTTTGAGACACCTCAGAGGTCCTCAAAAGGTGGCAGAAAATTATGGTAGAGGCTGTGAAGATACAGGTGTGAGGGAGTAACAGGAGGCTGAGGGTGAAAGCACAAATCATAACTGGGCAGAAGACACAACAAAGAATAGGAAATAAATATACCAGATGTAAAAATCCCATATGTGGTAAAAACACAGGAGAAAACAGGGAAGTGTCAAGAATTCTCACAATCCCAAGAAGAACAGAAAACACAGAGAAAGGGAAAAAAGAATGGGAACCAAAAAAAAAAGAGAGGACTTACCCCATTTTCGTCTTTCTCCGCTAAGGAAGACACCACTGCTCTTCAATCACATCAAGTTCCCCTGAAACTAAAAAAATAAAAAGGGCTGTTTTTTGTCTTGCTATTCAGCATATTTTGCCTGTGTGAAGTATCTCTACTATCTCACTGTGTAATGTACATTTGGCCCCAACAGAGCCCTGTGTGTGTGTGTGTGTGTGTGTGTGTGTGTGTGTGTGTGTGTGTGTCCCACCCCAGCCTGCCCACACAACAAAGTGATTGATCCACAACACTGAGCCAAATTTAAGCTCAGAGGCAAAAACTCACTTGAATGAATTTGAGAATTTCAAACCTCCTCTCCACTCCCTCCCACAGCTTTTTTGATCTTTAAAAATTTATGCACATGAATAGTCCCAGCAAAGGCAAAGGAACAGGGTTCTGCCTACTCTCCCATTAGCACATTTGATGGAAGACAAACCTCTCCTTTCCTCTGCACTTCTATTCTTGCCTTACCTGACCACTGGATTTGTTCTTTGCTGGCTGCTTTCTGTCCCACGCATTTGTGCATTGCACAGAAGAGTGCAGTAACAACCCAGTTAATTATAATTAATTGAATTGCAAGAGAAGTGTGTGATTCAAAGAGCAGTGGTCCTGCTGTACAGAAAAAGAACAAAATAAAGTAAGGAATAAGAAGTTCTAGGGTAGGTATTGGTATTTCTTTTATGTTTCCTCTTTTAAGGTTAGGGTTGTTCTGGTTTTGTTCAGCATAGACTTAGAAATCTGGGTAGAGGAGAAACTATTTACAAAACACTGTATGGATACTGTGGTGTTCTTAGGTTTTGGCAAAATATCTCCAAATTATTTGAAATGCTTGTTTAAGAGATGTTGAGATTTTGATTGAAAACAGAGAGATAATAATTAGAGAAATAGCGACTTGAATTTTTCAGTATTCTGTCAAAAAAAAAAAAACCCAAAAAAAAACAACAAACCAAAAAAACCCAAAACTAAAAAACCCTCTATGGTTCACTTCATGGCTTTGAGAAGGTACTGTGTGCTTGCATACAAACTGCTCTCCTACATCACCACAGTGCTGCAGAATTACAACGCTGCAGTTCTGAGGCTCTCCTAATAATTCCACTTTATGTTTACCTATGGTAGAAGTTTAAAGCAGGCTTTGCCTTTCTCTGAACTCAGTCTGAAAGGGCAGTCTGCAAAACTGCCTAAAGTTTGTGAGCAAAAGCCCAAGTTGCCACATTAACTCCACATTATCTCCCTGGCAGACTATAGACATGATCTCCAATCTAGTGGAACAGTATCATCAGGTATGTGCTTCTCAGATGAAGGTGTTTTCCCTCATCCTCTTAAAATTGTCCTTGCTAACAGTGGTGTAGGGGAGATGTGAGTGAGCATAAATATGGAGGCAATGTGTAGCACAGACATTCACTTAAAAACAAAAAATAATTAATTTGTGTGAATCACCCCCTCGGAAAATGATTGCTTTTTGAAGTATGCAGACCAGGCCTGTGAATGACACAATCTGATAAATTGTCACACATGCCATATGTTATGGCCTTGCTTCAGAAGCTCCCCAGAGGCAAGTTTTGTGAGACAGATAATTTCAGGACTGGATGAATCTCCCTCTTTCCAGTTCTTCATGAGTTCTCAGCGGACTCAAAATTATTTGCAGAAGAGGGTCAAATTTGGCAGTGGCCTTAGAATAAAAGCACTCCCACAAACATCATTAGGGAGCAGGAACCTATTATGCAATAAATTACACAAGTTATAATTGACCTTTGCTTTTGCCATCCTGTTGAACGATTCCTTTAAACACCACGCTAATTATATTCCTATGACAAGCAGCATGGAGAAGTTAAAGTCTGTTAGAAATTCAAGACAAATCTACTTCCTCCATACCTTGCTCACTTTCTCTCTCAAATGTCTCTCTTGGAGATTCTTTCAATCTTTACACTATTTTCTGTAAACACACATGCATTGAACTGTTGGAACCCAGGGTGTGGGGAATATTTCTCTGCCTGCACCAAGGGGTCCTGACCCCCAGGAAAACACTGCTTCTAACCTTCACCCGCAGAGAAGGCTTCCAAGACTCTGGGATGGGTTGGAGTCTACAAGAGTGTTGTAGACTACAAGAAATAGAAAATAGTATAGTTTGTCACAGGGTGAGAAATTTATGTTTTGGGATTTTAGTATAGAGGTAGATAGGCAGATATTAATTTTGCAAATGAAAATAATACTCATTTTGTCCTTTGCTGTGACCTGGCTGTAATTGCTGGGAAAACATGAAGTTGAGATGTTCTGAACAGATGTTGGCTACAACAGCGTGTGAAGTGATCTAAGCTGCAGGCAAAGAAAACCAGTCAGGCATTCTTTCAGGTTTTGTCAGTTCAGATTTAATTCAAAGAATTGTACTAAACCCCAATATATTATTACTATCTATTACAAAGGAAATACCAGGTGGAATGTTTCTCTTATAATCTTATTTTGTATTCCAGACTGTTGGTATAAAATACCTTCAGGCTATTGGAGCATTCATGAAGATGAAACATATGAGAATTTAGAGAATTTCCTTCATAATTTTACATTGCTTTTTTTTTTTGCAATTCATTCACATTGCTGCAAAAGCCAGTAAATTTTTTTTGATGTTAATGTGTAGGTACTAAATCAGATCTGAGGCCTAGTCAATTGAGTTCCCCATCTCTTAGAGTGTCCAGATGCAGAAGTACTTGATAGCTAAAAAGCCAGCTGGTAGGAAGAAATTTTTTGTGCTGCATTAAGTCTTTCCTTTTATCTCCAATAGCAAAGTAGCTGAACTCATGAAGTTAAAATTCAAAGAGACACTGTTTGATGGTGGTCCTCTTATCTGCATGAATGTCATCACTGTAAACCTTCCTAAAGTTTTGACTTCACCTCTGAAAAAGAGTGCATTCAAAGCTTTCTTTAATGAAATTTAGTAATGGCTTTGATCATTCAAAAATCAGGAAAAAAACACAAAGTAATCTAAGCACTTCAAAATTCACAAAATGGGGAAAAGTGAAGTAATTGACATAAATTGCTGTCATGTAATATAGAAAACAATTGATTATTCATGTCAATTTTCCTTAGAGGTAGTTTGCAAAAAAAAAAATTCTCTTTATCTGTTAACAAGTATAAAGAATATATTTTGTTTGATTTCATTGTACAATTGTATATTTAAGTGTACAATTTCACATCTATTGACTGTCTAGTTTTTGCCTTTTAAAGCTACATGAAGTACTGTAATCCTCCTAAGGATAATGATGTTAAGCAGATAATGTGCCAGACTAAATGAGCAGGTGTTACAGACACACTTCTGAGGGCAGACCTAATGCTAACATGAAATCAAAACTTGCTTTTGGGCAGATGATTATCCTGGTGGTTATGTGTGCCTAGACAAAGCTTGAGACAGCTTGGATGTTACCAGGTGGGCCCCGAGAAACAGCCCTTAGCCTGTGAAATGGCATGTTGTGTGTTAGGAGCAGGTTTGCAGATATAAATCTGCTCCTGTACGTCTTTCTCAAGGGGAATGCTGCAATAGGCAGCTTGTTCAGCAGTTTATGTCCAGCCTATGCTACCTGGTAGATATCAGAAAGGTGAAGGTTATTTCCAAGAATCAAGTGGATTAGACCTCTATCTTCAACAGAAGAAACAGTTTTTATGCATAAATTGCATATGTCTGGATTTTCAGCATCTAAAGGTTGGTCTAGTACAGGTTTTGGCAGCTGGTGGGGACAACCTAAGTTGTCCATGGGACCCCTCAGCAGGCTTACAGCAGAAAACTCCACACAGTGATCCATCCAGTGGGGTCATGAACACCAGCCCATGCCCAAGCAGCCCATGCCTTTGTCAGTAGCCCAAGCTACTGCATTGCCTCATGAGGCAGGAATAATTAGAAATACATTCAAACCTGGCTTTCTCTAGGCACCTATTTAAGCTGGTGAGAGCAGAGTGGACTAGAGGGCAGCTGGAGCTGTTCTTGAGTAGTGACTTTGTTCCACTCAATCCAGCACCATGAGCTGCAGTTGGGTCCATGCTCATCTCTCTTGGAAGCAGTACCTGGTGATCCTGGCTGAAGGGTGAAGGCAGGGAACTGCCTGCTCTTCTTGGATAATTTGAGGGGGAAAACTGGCATGTTATCTAAGTAGGTGTCTTAAAAGAAACCAATCTCCTTTTTTATATTGCTTTCTTAAGACAGTGAGAGAAAGTGAAAATCTAAAATAATTTTTGAGACATAAATAGATGGCAGAAACAATCAAAACTGGATGAACTGAAACTTGTGTTTCACTCACTGTTTGTCTTCCTCCTCACATTTGCTGTGAAGATGCATCATATATTCAATTAAAGCCATAGGGTCATTAGGCCAGGGGCTACAGTCTACAACTGCTGCTTCTGCTGGTTATTAGATTACATGCAGCCATGAAACCAGGAGTTTTAGCACAGCCACATCATAGTATGACAAGAAGGCAGTCAAGGTTCAGAGTTTTATGTATTGGTCTGCTTACACCCACGGAAACCAGTGCACTTAAACATACATTAAATGTTTTAAGTGGGGTACAGAAAGAGAAAGAAAGTATAAAAATATTGGAAGTATAAAGCACTGAAGTATTTGGTTTATTAACATGATGTTGCATTCCTCATTTAGATATTGGGAGATTGCCATTTCAACCAGCCTGCAACACCTGTTTTGAGACAACAAAGAGTGGGGAAAGCAAGGGGGAGTAGGCATCAAAGGCAGCACTTTTGGGGGGCAGGACATTTCCACCAGATCCAGAGAAACAACACCACCACCCTCAGAACAGCTTTACATGTCTCCCCCTGGCCAAGGTCTCTTCTTGCCTGGAAAGGTCTCTAAGATCTTCAGCCTACTTCAGCATCATGAACTGCCTGGATGGTTGTGAAGTTTTTCACAGCTTCGAAAAATTTGTGCAATTTTCTTTCTAAGATGTCCCACAGCAGAGACCAAGCTGCTAGGAGACCACTTTCAAGCATTAAACCTAATGCTTCCTACCAGGATTTAGGCTCTTTGCATCCTCTCCTGAATCTCATGGACCAAGAAACAAAATTTTTTCTCTGACCCTTTGCAGCTGCCTTTTTGTTGTGCTTCCCTCATGTTAAGTTAAACAGTCCTGTTTCATGCAGTCTTTCCTTGCTGAGCACATTTTCTAGACCCTCGG